AATGAAAACCCAAAATCCCGGTAAATGTTCATTAAAACTAATAAAATTTAATAAAAAAAAAAAGTAAAAGAATAGTAAAATCCCAGAATGTTCCCTAGAGGCAGGGATGTTAAGATGCTGTCTTACATCCTTTGGACCTGTTACCAGGAGGAGCCAATTCTTGGAGAAACACATCAGACATGGTAGCTGTTACATGCTGTCAAGTTGACTGTAACTCATATTGACCCTAAAAACAATGGATCTGAACTCTGCCTATCTTGCGTTATTCTGACCATCTCTGATATATTTGAGCCCACTCTTCAAGCTACCATGCCAGTCCATCTTGCTGAGGGTCTTTCCTGTGTTGCCCTTCCTCTTTTCCAAGTGTGATCTGAACAACATGCCCAAAGCATGTGAGACAGAGTTTCACCGTCCTTGCTTCCAAAGAGCACTCTGGTTGTGCTTTCTCCAAGACAAACGTGTGTGTTCTTTTGGCTGTCCATGGGGTATTCGCTACTCTTCTCCCACACCACAGCTCAAAGACATTGATTCTCCTGTCATCCTTAGTCATTGTCCAACTTTCAGATGTATTATGTTGTTATGTGCTGTTGAGTCACTTGTGACTCATAGCAACCCTAAATAGCTCTGAACCCTTTTCCATCCTGTGCCAACCATATTGTCTCAGACACACATACCCCCATTACCCTAGTCACTGAATCAATCTACCTCATCACAGGTCTTTCTCTTTTGCGCTGTCCTGCCACCCTCCCAAACATGATATCCTTCTCCAAGAACTGGTATGTCAGATGAAGCTTCAGAATCCTTGCCTCCAAGGAGCAGCCTGGTCTCACTCTCTCTAGATGAACTTGTTCTAGCAGTCAATGGTATATTCAATACTCTTCTCTAGCACAACAGCTCAAAGGCATAAATTCTCCTTCAATAATCCCTAGTCACTGTTCAGCTTTCTGATGCATAGAAAGTAATTCTTCAGGCTATGGTCTGGATCAGGCACACCTTAGTCTCAAACATGACATCATTGCTCTTCAGTGCTCTGGAGAGGTCATTGACAGCAGACTTTCCCCAATGTAATGTGTCTTAATTTCCTGGCTGCTGGTACCAAGAGTGTTGTGTTGCTTGTGGAGCCAAGCAAACTGAAGCTGTGATCTCAATCTCAATTTCTTCACTGTCTATCATGATGCTACCAATTAGCCCAGTGGTAAGAATTAGACGAACTTGAGTATCAGAGATTTGTGAGCAAGATCTTAAAGAGGTTTTTCCTTAAAATGTGAGAAGAAAGAAAGAAAACAGGAATTGGGCAAAATGAAAATAGAACTTAAAGATTAAAAATTTCTGTTGTACAAACTAAGCACACACGCCCTGAAATGTTCACCAACAACTGGCTACACAGTCTTTAAAAATTAAGTTTGTGACTGATTAATCAACTTTAGCAGAAACCTCATCTGTGTAGATGGAAGGGGACAGAATCAGAATGAAAGGAAAGAATACTGTCTCTTGGAATTCTACAGGCAGGAAATTAAAGAAGCTACATCTGTTGTCCTTCAAAGAAAAAAAGACCATGTTGGAGCATTTCCAAACCCAGCAGAACTAGTATGAGAAGCACAAGAAGATAGATCTTAAGGGTTGGGGTCACAGTCTCCTGGACATAAGAAATTGGGAGCATAGTTTCCTGAATTTCAGGAGTTGAATTTGCATCAATTGAGTTCAGAAGTGTGGGAATGAAATAGGTACTCCTAGGACTGGAAGGGTAGGGTTGCCACTGCTAAGAGAATGGGGTATCTAATGGAGGAATGATGATGCCACTTTGAGGACTAACACGTGCCTGATTCAGGCTAGGATCTTTTCAGTCACTTGCTGTGCAGGTGAGAGTTGGACAGTGACTAAGGAAACTGAAGAATCATCGGCGCCTTTGAACTGTGGTGTTGGACTAAGAGTGCTGAGTATCCCATGGACTGCCAAAGAGAATAAGCATGTTTTCGAGAAGGTACAGCCAGAGTGCTCCTTGGAGGTGAAGAGGAAGTTTCGTCTCACATAATTTGGGCATGTTGCTAGATTATGGTTGGAGAATGATGTTGTGCTTGGGAAGGTGGAGGGGCAGTGTAAGAGAGGAAGACCCTTGACCAAGTGGGTGCAGCAATGGCCTTGACTGTATAAGAGATTGTGAGGATGGTACAGGATAGGACAGGGTTCACATCTTATTCATAGGGTTTGTGCATTATGCTCACCTCGATGGCATCTAACATCAACAATGTACTTAGGAGAATGGAGCGCCTTAAAGACTTGGGGGTAGAGTTGCTGTCCCAGAGGGACCTTCCAGGTGAAGCTGAAGTCTAGAATCCAGAGAACCTGGCCAGCACCCCAAGTCCGGAGAGTGGGCCATAGCCCGGGTGGTCTCTGAGGAGATTCTTTCAAGTCCTGAGAACTGCTGGGTACTGGACTTGCTTGGTGCCTGTTAAGGTGGTAGAGTGGGTTACATGTTGGGCTACTAACCAGAAGCCCTGCTGTTCAAATCCATCAGCTGCTGCTCTGGAGAAATATGAGGCTACTTTGTTTCCATTAAGATTCACAGCCCTGTAAACCCGTGGAAGGCTGCTAATAGTTGGAAGTGGCTTGATGGTGTTGGGGTTTCAGTACCAATAGAAGCACAGTCGGTCAAGTGTTTGTTTGCTAATAGGAAGGGAGCTCTGGTGGCCTAGTGGCAAAGAAGCTGTGCTGCAATCCCAAAGGCACAGGGTTTGAGGCCACCATACACTCTGTGGGAGAAGAGTTAACTGCCTCTGAAAACCCGCTGGAGGGTCAGCTATGGGTTGATTCTGACTCGATGGTACAGAACAACTAACAGTAAGTTTGGTGGTCTGACCCCACCAGCTGCTATGCAGGACAAAGATGAGGCAGATCCTTCCTTAAAGAGTACAATCTTAGAAACTCTTCAACTTGATGGCAGTGAGTTAGGTTCCACATCCCCTGTCCCTTCGTCCCCACTTCATCCATCTGGAGTAGAGACCTGTGCCCGCGGCTGCCCCCACCGCACAGTGGAAGTAGACAGCTCCTGGTCAAGGTTGGACAGGTTTACAGATGAAGCAGGCTTTACTCCCAGGACATTACTCGTAATGCCTCATCCGTAACTGATTTAGGTGATTCAGAAGATGAGATTTTGGACTTGGAAAGAATGTGAATTTGGGGGAACCAAAGGTGAAACGATAGGGATTGGAATGTATCCCCCCAAATAGGTCTCATTAATCTCTGCAGGTGGTTGTAAACCATTTGAGTTTTGTTATGTTAATGAGGCCGGATTAGTGTAGGGTACACTTTCAGTCAGTACCTAGTTTGAGATATAAAAAGAAATTACCATATTTCTACAGAAATACCATACTGTATGCTTTTGCAAACTTCCCAACTTCCTTATGTGCCAGTTCCCTAAATGACAATCCATGTTTTCTATGTGTACATTTATGTGGGTGAGTTTTATGGATAAATATGATAAATGCAAGCTAGCAAGCAGAGATGGGGTCAGGTGGATGCAAAACACATGGAGGTCTCCAGAAGCCAAGAAGCAGAAGTGAAGAGATAAGCAGTTCCCTCAGGGGAGGCCTCCTCGGCACTCTGAGCTCTGAACTTGGGTTTTTAACCTTCTAAAACTTTGAGAAAACACATTGTTGTTTGTTAGAGCCACCCCCTTGTGGTATTTCTGTTATAACAATACTAGGGATCTGAGACAGGTGGTGTTTTGGGCCCAAGCACCCCATCATTTATTTCTTGTAACACAGAACTTAAAGGTGAGAGGCTCAAGGGATACAATTTGACTGAGCTGATAAATTTGAAGAGACTGATAAAAAAATGTCAATCTGAAATTGTCCCAAAAGAACCCAAGTGTTAAGGCCCAATCCTGTCTAAAGCTGTGAATTCTAAGGGGTGGGAAAGGCAAGGCACAGGGGTTTAGTTTAAATCATGAAGTTTTAGCAAACCTTCAGACAGTGATGCAGAAAGAAAAAGGGGTCTGGGTTTGAGTAGCTTTTGGGAAGGGCCCAGAAGCTCCTGCCCACTAGACATCCCCAGTTTTTCAGGATTCACTTCGCTCACTAAACCTCGCTCAGCTGGGCTTTCACTAGGCTTTTTTCTTTTTCATTGGCATTTGCTTGTCCCTCTGGGTGAGGGTGAGAGTTCTGCAGGTTTATTCCTAATGGTGAGGTTCCTCTTTGTTTTTGCCAAATGTAAGTCTTATTTTTGGGTCATGGGGTGAGCAGGAGGGGGCCTTGAAGAGTCCCAGACGTGGAACCCTCTGGGGCAGTTCTGCTCTGTCCTTTTGGGTCACAGGGAGTCAGGCTGTGGGGTGGCAGTGGGTAGTTCTTTTGATTTTTGGTTTGGCATGAGGAGGCTCCCAGGTGAGAGAGAGAGAGAGAGAGAGAGAGTGAGTGTGTGTGTGTGTGTGTGTGTGTGTGTGCACGCACCTGAGTGCGAGTGTGCCCGTCTGTGCTGTGACAGACACTCCCGGCCTCCTCAGCCTTTATTCTCTGGACAAAGCTGTCTTGTGCTCACTGACTCCACAAAGCTGGCCAGGTCCCTGCAGTGGTGCCTTCGAGTTGCACTGCTGGCCACCTCTGAGGGGCAGTATGTCAGAAACTGGAGGTCACCTCTTACTGGGTGACTGCAGTTCTAGAATCTTCTGCCTGGAGTTGGGCTGTGCCCATTGCCCTCACTGTAGCTGAGACTGGCCTGTCCACTGTGGCCCATCTTCTGTGGGGGCCTGGAAATGTGGGGACTCTCCCTAGTAGGAAAATCTCATCCTCCTCTAGGTGGCACCTCTCCGAGGAGCACCACGTGACAGCAGGAAGCTGCCCCCATTCAGGGACCTGGTTGAGCGGCCACCATCATTGCCAGGCTACCAGCAAGGGCCAAGAAACTCTTGTTGGTGCTGCGCCTGCTGTCCGCGGTTGGCCTTGACTGCTTTGTCTCTGTCGTAGAAAAGTCATCAGAGGAGAGGTGCTGGAAGCAGTGGGGCCCCCTCACCGTGCCTCGTCCTCAGCAGGTGGCTGCAGGTGGGCAAAACTCAGGAACACCTGCTCCAGGGATATCTGGCTCACGGAGTAGTCGTCAACACTGTACTTCCCCTTGGCTTTTTCTAGGACTCCAAACACCTGGTGGAGCAGACGCTGAGGTCACAACCCTGACTCTTGAGTGGGGACTTAGGGCTCCCACCAGGTCTGGGGGCCCCTGCAGTGCAACCTGGAGGCCTGTGGCATCCTGTAGCTTCTATGCTCCCAGAGCAGGAGTGTCTGAGAGGAAGGCTCTGGAGAGTCTGGAATAGTTGCTAAGTCTTGGGGTTGTCCATAATAGGAGCTGCCAAGGTCCCAGAAATGTGCTTCAAGGGCAGGCTTGGCTGGGCAGGAGTGAGTTGACCCCTGAGCCCTGCTCCCAGCCCAGGTGCCAACCCAGAGCCAGCTTCTTCCTCATCCACTGGACTCAGGACAGAGGATCACACCCTGAGCCTGGGGGTGGCCATGGAGTGGGGACCCCAGGGGCTGAGTGTCACCATTGAAAGGGGTGGCATGTGGGGGGACTGCCCACAGGGTCTAGGGCACTCACCTTGGCCCAGCTGAGGCCTTGGCCAGGCAGGTGGTAGTGAACCATCCCCTGGTGCTCGTCCTCCAGGACACTGCCTGCACAGGGAGAGACCAAGTCCCCATGAGGGATCCAGGGCAAGGCACTGGGGGAGGTAGGTATGCCCAGTCCCTCCGCGGCCTGCCAGCCTTACACACCTGGGAAGGTGAGGTCCACGAAGGCCTTGAACTTCTCTAGCGCTGCCTTCTCTCCATCACACCGGACCTTGGCCCGCAGGGAGTAGCCGCTGCCGAACTTGCTCTTGAGGTGCTGGGGGCTGCCCAGGCACTTGAACTGGCCCTGCACCATGATGGCCAGCCGCGTGCACAGGGCCTCACACTCCTCCATGCTGCAGGAGAGCTGGCCTGAGGTGGTGCCCAGATTGGGTGTCTCCTCATGGTCACTGCCTGCCCACTAGCCCTTAGGTCCAGACTAAAAATGTATCAGAGCTGAAAACCTGGAGCACTGGGCTGTGGCTGAGTCTGTCAAAGAGCCTTAACTGTTCTATTCCAGCCATCTGTCTTTCTCTTCATCATGCCAGCATGTGGCTTGTCCCTCATGGCAAGTGCATGTCTGACCATAGCTGCCATGCCTGCTCAGGGGGGCTGGTCCTTAATGATTCCTGTAGGTCATGGCTCCTACCACCACAGAACTAATCCTGTAAAGTTTTCATTTGAAATGGTGTCCACATCCGAATCATGCTGTCTGCCCTCACTAAGAAGCTCAGAATCTTAGAAATGAGACCAGTGGCCACAAATTGGTGGAAGGATATGGGTCACACTGTTGATGGTTGTCCCCCAATCCAGAACAGCTAGTCTGTCTTTATTCTGTCAACCTCTTTATAAGACTGAGATTTGAAGTAACCAGATGGATTGACAGAGTGACTGCAGCAATGGGCTGAAGTGTGTCAGAGATGGGAAAGGACAGGGTTCAGATCTGTTCACAGGTCGCTGTGAGTCATACCTGACTTGAAAACACCTAACAACAACAACATGTTCCCTAGAACACAAAACCACTGCCATCTGGATGATTCTGGGTCACAGTGACTTGTGTGCCCTGAAGGGTAGCACTGCACCATCTGAAGCACACTGCACCATCTCTGTACCTCAGCAGCTGGTGGGTTAGAACCTCCAGCCTTTCAGTTAGTAGTCAGGCTTTAACTGTGAACCCCCGGGGCTCCCTGATCCCCAGAGGCCAGTTATACCTGTGAGAGGTGATGACAATAGCCTTGCCAGACTCGCGCGCCCGAGCCACCGTATCCCAGAGCAAGCGCCGGGCCACAGGGTCCATGCCGGTGGATGGCTCATCCAGGAAGATGACGGCAGGGTCTCCGATCAGGGCGATGCCAGTGCTCAGCTTCCGCTTGTTCCCACCGCTGAGGACAGAGGGCCGGGGGGCAAGGCTGGTACCTGCAGGGCCCCTGGGCCTCAGCAGCACCCTGGTCCCAGGCTGCCAGGCACCAGTGAGTGGAGAAGGGTAGGTGGGCTGAGCCTGGAAGGGCTCCCACAGGCCCTCAGGTCGCCTGCCTGTGGTCCTATCTGCGGGTGGCTCCTCCTCAGGCCTCCCCCCTCATACCTTCTAGTCTGGGTCAGCTTCTGGACCCCACCCTGTTCCCAGGGCTGTGGAGGTCCAAAGGCAGGCCCCTGACTAAGCTCTGAGACAGGGACAAGACCCCTGGGCACAGGCAGGGAGGGCCAGGACCATCAACTCTGAGGTTGGGATATGACCTCCAGGGATGGCAACAGCATCAAGCCTGTGACTGCTCAACTGTCAGCGCTGAGACAAGGATGAGACCCCCAGGGATGTGCAGGCCTGGGACCGCTTGGCCCTGAGGCAGGATGAGGGCCCTGGGGACAGGCAGGCCCAGGACTGCTCAGCCCTGAGGCAGGACGAGACCCTGGGGACAGACAGGTCCGGGCCCACTCAAGCTCTAAGGCAGGGACAAGACCGCTCAGTTTTGAGGCAGGAATGAGACCCTGATGGGCAGGCCCGGGACTGCTCAGCTCTGAGGCAGGAATGAGACCCCGGAGGTGGCAGCAGAGGTGGGTGCACCTGTAAGTCCTGACCAGCTTGTTGGCATGTGGCTCCAGCAGCAGGCCTCGCAGTGTGTTCTCCACACAGGCTGAGATGTGGTGCTCGGGGACGCCCCGGAGCCGGGCATACATGACAAGTGTCTCCTTCGCTGTCATGTGGTCCAGTAGGGCATCAAACTGGGGGCAGTAGCCGATACGCTGCCGCACCTGAGAGCCAGTCAGCCAGTGAGAGACATGTAGGAGACAGGACAAGGGGAAGGATGCAGGACAAGTTTACCCCACCCTGACCAGTCTCTGAGGTCCACCACGAGACAGGCCTTCCCCCCGTCTCTGAGGTCCCCCCACTGTCTCTGAGGTCCACCACAAGACAGGCCTTCCCCTCCCCACTGTCTCTGAGGTCCACCACAGGACAGGCCTTCCCCATTACCTTGGCCACTGTCTCTGGGGTCCACCATGGGACAGGCCTTCTCCCCACCTCACCCACTGTCTCTGAAGTCCTCCACGGGACAGGCCTTCGTCCCCTCCCCTCCTGTCCACACCCACTATCTCTGAGGCCACCTCTCCAGGAGCTGGGGATGGCCTGATATTTAGTGACCTTGGCTGTGGTTGTTTCCAAGGGAAATCAGAGGGTGTGGTGGTGGCCCAGGAGTGCTGGACCTCACACCGAGGGGTCAGGTAGGCCTGGAACCTGGTCTCAAGTCAGTGGCCATGGGGGGTTGTAGAAGATGGGCTTTGTGACCACGCAGAATGATTGCCACTTAAGGCTGCCCCTTCACGCTCCTCAGCCTGCAAGGCCCTTGTGCCTCCTCGCTGGGCCCACTTCTGTGTGCCCCTTTGTGAGATGGCAGCACAGCCTTCTTGGGCATGAGGCCAGATCCGGAACGCTGTCCAACCTCTAGGCATCCTGGAGCCACTGTCCACCCACTGGCCTTAGAGCTGGCAGGACACACATGTGCCCAGGGTCTGTGGCTTCCAGAAGCTGGGCTTCTTTTCCTCTGTCCTCGGTCTCTGGTGCTGCAGTAGGTCAAGGATTGGGCTGCTAGCCTAGAGGTCAGTGGTTCAAATCTACGAGCCACTCTGAGAAAAATAACCAGTTTTCTCTGGGAAGTATTCACAGCTTTGGAATACCCATGGAGGGTCACTGAGTTGGAATCAGTGCGATGATAGGGAGTTTGATGTAGGGATGTGGGATGAAGGCGGGCGATTTAGGGATGGGGCTGAGGACTGCCTTCTGTCTCAGGCCAGTGGAGGGCTGGGCCTGTACTGTGTCTCAGGCTACAGCAGTTCTCACAGGCTCCTTCTCTTCTATGAGTTCTACATGCATAGCACCTACTGCCCAGGAGACCTTTCAGGCCTGGCAGCTAAATGGAAGGTCAAGAGTTTGAACCCACCAGCCGATCTGTGGACAGAAGATGGGCAGCCTCCTCACCTCTAGGATTTTATTTCTAGCCTCAGAAAGTGCTGGAGGTTCACTGTGAGTAGGAATTAGCTCAAGGGCAGTGGGTTTTTTCCCATTTTGGTTTTGGGCCATTGGGATCTTAAACTCAGGAGAGCTCTCTGGTGTGGCCAACATACACTTGCACTGCTAAACCAACAGGCCGTCTGAATCCACCTGCAGCTCCTTGGGAAAAAGATGGACAGTTTCCTCCCGTGCAGTGCTCAGCCTTGGAACCCAGCTGGAGGGACAGCTAGGGGTTGGTTCTGATTTGATGGCAGTGGGATGGTTTTAGAGGTGGAATCCTTAGGTTCAGGGCCAGTTTTTAGCTCCTGCTTCTTCCTGGGCACTGGGTTGGCATCCTACATATGGACTGAGAGTGAGAACGAGTGTGGAGCAGGGAAACTGCTGGACATGGTCCATCCCAGGCCCAGAGCAGGGGCCCCAGGGCCGCTCAGGCCTGGGCTGGCTTCCTGTCTCCCTGCTGTCCACCTCCCAGCTCTGCTGGCCCTGGCCCTCCACCCTGCCCTGCCCCCTCCCTGTGCTTTACTCTCAGCCCTGAAGGACATCACCCCATCTCTGTCCCAGAGCCCATGCACTTACCTTACTGAGGTTGGAGCAGATACTGTGACCGCCAACAAAGGCATCCCCTGAGCTGATGGTCTCCTCACCGGTCAGCATCTTGAAGGTGGTGGTTTTGCCAGCCCCATTGAAGCCCAATAGGCCAAAGCACTCACTCTTCTGGACAGCGAGGGACAGCTTGTCCACAGCCAGGAGAGGCGTCCGCTGCTCATATACCTGCACCAAGCAGAACACAGGGTGACCTTCTGGGGACTGGCCTTGCCACTTACCCTCTAGGAGAAAAGACCCGGGGAGCAGGTGGGCAGATCCCAGGATGTGCTGGGGTTCCTGGTCACCTTGGACAGCTCCCTAATGATGAGGGGTGGGTCCCGTGGTGGTGGGTCCAGCATGGGGGCCAGCACTCGGCTCCTTTCGTCTGCCACATCCTGGTCTTCAGGCAGCACCGGCGCCCGGCCGTACACCTCAGTCTAACATTCAAGACACAGATGGGGCAAGGTGCAGCCAGGCAGGCTGAGGAGCGGAGCACAGGCTGGGCCAAGCAATTCCTTGGGATCAGCCTTGAGGAGGCTAACTACATGGTGGGTCTGGTAGACGGTCAGTCCCCTGATGGTGTCCAGGGGGGACATTCACCTGGGGGCTTGTGAGGAGAGCTGAAACTCCTGGGGTGTCCAGGGAGGTGTTTTTAGCACAGCCTGACATAACCACTAAGCTCTAGTTGCATGTGACACCCCCACCCCTGACCTGGTCTCATAAGCCTTGCAGTTATACTCAGTGGGACATTCTAATGGATGGGGAGTGTGTGGCCAGCTTGCCCCATCTCCCTCTCCTGATGTCCCAGGTTAGGGGGTCAGGGGACATCCCACAAGCTAGATCTCATGATTGAGGACATCACTTGTGGGCATGGTGGTCCTGATTGTCCTGTCTGCTGTCTGGGATGAGTGTCTGCCCCAGGAGGGCCTGCTGCAGGTAGGCAGCTCCTCCCTACTCCAGTGGGCCACACTCCGATGCTCACCCGGGGGGCTGACCAGGATAAGTGTCCACCCCAGGAGGGCCTGCTCCAGTAGGCTGCATTCCGATGCCCACTCGAGGGGGTGCTCACCAGTCTTCGTCGACCCCGGAGGGCACAGAGCAGCGTCTTGAGCCTCCACAGCAAGTTGGTCTCCAGCAGGAAGAGGAGGGTGAGGTAGGCGAAGCCTGAGATAACCATGGAGGTGACAAACCTGCCAACACCTGGAGCCTTCCATGCGTAGAAGTTCTCCTGGTACTCGATGTCTGCAGAGAGGCCATGTTGTCATCTTCTGGCCTTCTGCCCCTCCCAGATTCCGCCTACCCAGGCCTTGTTAGGCTCAATGTCCACTGGGCTCTGCAGAACCCTAGACAAGACACTCCAGTTCTCAGGGGCCACATGGAGGAGGGGGCCTGCTCTGAGCAGTCCTTGAGGTGACACAGGCCCACTGTGACACAGAGGTCTGGTATGACACAGACCTCAGGGTGACATGGACCTTGATGTGACATGGGGCTCAGTGTGCTATGCCTGATGGGACATAGACCTCAGTGTGACGTCAGTGTAATAGGGCAGTCAATGTGACATGGAACCTCATGACACAAAACCCCATTGTGACAGGGGGACCTCAGTGTGACACGGGGACCTCAGTGTGACAGAACCTCGTGTGACACAAAACCCCAGTGTGACGGGGGACCTCAGTGTGACATGGACCTCAGTGTGACGGGGACACCTCAGTGTGACATGGGACCTCACTGTGACAGAGGCACCTCAGTGCAACGGGGACACCTCAGTGTGACGGGGACCTTACTGTGATATGGGGACCTCAGTGTGACGGGGACCTCAGTGTGACGGGGACCTCAGTGTGATGGGGACCTCAGTGTGACATGGACCTCAGTGTGACGGGGAGCTTCAGTGTGACATGGGACCTCAGTGTGACGAGGACACCTCAGTGTGATGGGGACCTCAGTGTGACGGGGACCTCAGTGTGACAGGGGACCTCAGTGTGACGGGGACCTCAGTGTGACAGGGGACCTCAGTGTGACGGGGACCTCAGTGTGACAGGGGACCTCAGTGTGATGGGGACCTCAATGCGATGGGGACACCTCAGTGTGACAGGGACTTAAGTATGACACGGGGACCTCAGTGTGACATTGTATCCAGTGTGACAGGGGGCCTGGCATGACACAGACCTCAGTGTGATGTACTGCCTGGTGTGACATGATCTCAATATGATGTGGGGCCTGTATGACAGGTGTGACACAGATGCCCAGTGTGACAGTGTCTAATGTGACAGGAATACCAGTGTGACACAGATGTCAATCAGTGTGATTGACAATGTCAATCAGTGTGACTGACACTGGGTGTGGTAGAGACACTGTCATGTCTGAGCACTGTGGTCACCTGGAGAGGCATCTGGGGCGGGCAGCTGAGCGGGGCTTACAGAGCTGAGATCAGGTCCGACAACCACAGATAGGCTGGCCAGGGTGCTGCCACCCAGCCTCCCAGTTGTGTCCTGGCCCTCGCAGGCTGCAGACACTCACGGTACTTGTGACAATAGTGGGTGGCGACCTCGGAGGACGTGCAGTACCGCCTGGTCTCGTAGTTCTCATAGAAGCTGCTAATGGCCATGCCCAGGCAGTGGTTGGGCAGCACCAGAAACACCTGGTCCAGGGTTCTTGAGAGCTCTTCCAGCTTGACCGCTGCAGTGAGGACATGCAGGCTGGTTGGCTCCAGGGGCACTGCCAGTGCCCACTTGGCTTCAGGGGACACAGGGATGTTCCCCATTCAATCCTTATCCCTCCCAGTCATGACTAAGGCCCACCAACACCTTCAGGGTGGGAGGGCTCTGCCTCCCTGCCTGGCTGCAGGCGCCCCAAGGGTGGTGGGGGACTGGGGGGGGTCCCACCTGGGATGCGCATGATGGTGACCACCAGAAAGGTGGCCACGCCTGAGAGCACATTGAAGATGGTCAGGCGTGTGTAGGCAGTGGCTGCCCCCGAGAAGAAGAAGCTCAGCAGGTACATGAGGGGCACCACGGCCCAGCCGTAGAGCAGGAGCAGCGCCAGTGCGTCCACCGCATGGCCATCCCACGTGAACGCGCGCACGTCGAAAGCGCGGAACACCGCCTGCAGGGTGGACACGGGGGCTGGGAGACTGCCACATGGGGGGCTGGGAGCGACAGGGCCCCTCCTCAGCCCTCAGCCTCATTGGCTCCCTCTGGATACACAGTCACTCTTGTTAACCAAGGCCCCAGGCTAGGCCCGTCCTCCCAAAGCTGGAGTGAGGTGGGACCAGAAGCCTGAGGCTGCGGAACATTCCCAGCTATCTCTGGGCACTGGGCAGTGTGCCTGGCCAGTCCTTGTCCTGCAGGGGAGACCCCGCTGGCTACACTCACCAGCAGCAGCAGGCTGGGGACCAGAAAGGTGATGAGGTCCCACAGCAGGGCGGAGAGCCAGAAGGTGGCCACATGGACACCGCTGACAAACTGGACGTGCTTGGCTTGCGTAGCCCTCTCGCTGACTGCCAGAATGGAGAATGTGCTGGCCAGGAAGGCCATGGCGAATAGCAGGTTGAGGGCAATGTCGAAGCCCTTCCGGCCCCTGTGTGTTAAGGTGGTCAAGGTGAAAGGTGCTTTCAGGGCAGAGTGAGGTCAGGAGCTACCCTCTATCCTCACTGCCTACTGTGGGTGACTGGCCACCACATGGGAAGAGGGACACTGTACCTTGTAGATATGGCACAGTCCTTGCCCCCAGCCTCCCTGCCCACCATGTCCCCAGCACGACCTGGCCCTCCAACCTCCCTTTCCACTTGTCCCCAGCACAACCCTGTCCATCAGTCTGTCCACTATGTCCTCCCAGCCACCTTAAGTGGCTACAACACTTAGGTGACAGAATGCCACTATGCTGCCTTCTGCAGCATTTCCTGCAGACTGCCCACTCCCGCATGGCTGGCCAGGAGGACAGTTCTGCACTGGGCAGGATGGGGCTCACGCACTCGCTGAACTGGTCCTTGGCAGCCTGCAGGGCGCTACGCGGCTGCGGGTAGTTGGAGATGGTGATGGATGCCTGGGGGCCACAGAGCAGCTTGAACAGCAGGTTGTCCACCACGGCCAGGGCAGTGGCTGGGGAGTGGTAGGCCTGGTTGTTGAACAGGGCGGTGACGATTGTCTGCTCCCCCACGTCCCTGAAGGATGTCGCCACCAGGCAGCGCTCATTGAAGCCCCCGCCCTCCACGGAGGCCCGGAAGATCAGGAACTCCTCCAGGTCACCTGGAGAGAAGGCTTGTCAGCTTTCATGGGCTGGCACCCTGGGGTTCACATCAAGGCCCTATCCTTGGGGAGCGCTGAGCGATGGAGCTGGTGCTGTGCACATGTCCACACTGCTATGTGCTGGGGTGACCTGGGGCACCTATCCACACTGCTGTTGTGCTGTGGGGGCTGCATGGCATGACCCAGGGCATTTGTCCACACTGCTGTGTGCTGTGGGGCTGCACCGTGGGACCTGGGCACCTGTCCACATGACAATGTGCTGTGGGGGTGCACAGAGGGACTTGGGCCACCCGTCCACATTGCTGTGTGCTGGGGTGACCCGGGGCACCTGTCCACACTGCTGTGTGCTGTGGGGCTGCACATCAGGACTCAAGGCTGTGGGTGTGACAAGACCACTCACAGACCTGCACGGCCTGCTGAGCTGTGACAGTGACAGTGCATCTTACTGCCCCAGGCTTACAGCCCTCAGGTGACACTCGAGGGCAGGTACTCTGGGGACACTCAGAATGCAGGTAATGGATGAGGACAGTGCCCGATGGCCGAAAAACTTCTGGCCCCAACTGGGGAGAGTACACTGTGGGGAAGCCCTTCCTGCTGCTTGCCTGGACCTGGCCCACTGCCCACCTGGGCCCAGATGAGCAGAGGACTCACACACACACTTGGGCCTAAACGGGCCCAACTGCACACTTGTCATTGACTCTCCATCTATCTGGGTTAAACTACACCCCTGAGACCAACTTCCCACCTTGACCTGCCCATACACCTGGGACCAGGTGTCCATTCACCTGGGACCAGTTGCCCACACACTGTGAGCAGCTGCCTATCTGGGCCTGACCACACGCCTGATCACATGCCCGTGACCGGCTGCCCACATGGCCCATCTGATTCCTGAGGTACACAGCTCACCTGGCTCTGCCCAGGGACCCTTACCTAGCACCTCCCGGGGCTCTTGGCCCTCGGCCTGCAGCATATCTCTCAGGTACTCCGATAGCTGCTGGTCTATCCGCGAAGTCCCTGAGGCCGAGAAGGGCACAACAGTGGTGCCATACTCCCCCAGGGTCAGCGGCAGGCTGGGGTCATCCAGGATCTCCGAGGAGTAGTTGATAGCCAAGAGGGCCAGGCTGAGGCACGTCAGAGGGACAAGGACCTGGGCTGCTGCCACCTTCCACTCCCGCCAGCTGTATGAGGCCTTCTTCACGAACATGGCCCAGAACTGCTGACAGTGCAGGGTGAGCTGTGGACAAGAGGGTGGCATTACAGGGGCCCCTGGGGGTGCTGGGATCACAGGGCACTGTGAGGATCAGGGAATGCCCCCTCACTCATCCCATAATCTCTAGCCCGAGGTTTTAACCATGAGTGCACACATGTCCAGAGAGAGAAGTGGGGCTTCAGGGAGATTCTACTGTACCTCACACAGTACCGAGACATGTTTGCACATGATACTCCACACCACGTCTGCACATGGCACCTCACAGCCACATTTGTACACCTTACTGTCCCACCCCGGCCTGCACACGGCCCCTCACAGACACGTCTGCACACATTCCTGTCCCACCCCGGCCTGCACACGGCCCCTCACAGCCACGTCTGCACACATTCCTGTCCCACCCCGGCCTGCACATGGCCCCTCACAGCCACGTCTGTACACATTCCTGTCCCACCCCGGCCTGCACATGGCACCTCACAGCCATGTCTGCCCTTGTTCATGTCCCTCCCAGGCCCACACATGGAAGCTCACAGCCACGCCTGCACACGGCACCTCACGGTCATATATGCACATACTCAGGTCTCTCCCTGGCCTACACCTGGAAGCTCACAGCCACGTCTGCACATAAATCCTGACAATGTCTGCACACAGACCTCATCCTGTCTGCATATTCTTATATTCCACTGGGCTAGACATGGGGCTTTGGGGAACCATGGAGGCAGGCAGGCACTATTCCATCCGTGGCACCTGTTCTCGGCACCATCAACTGCTCTTTGCTGGCAGCAGCACCAGGTGAGAGAGCTCCACCTGCTTATGTGTGAGCAGGTGAACAAACCTCCAGACTATTTTCTTACCCTCCCCAATAGTGCCTGCCACTGTCCTACAGGAGCAGGGTCCACGCTCAGCTCTCCTTCTGGCCACCACCATGGTGTCCTGCTTGGAAGCCTCTACCTGGTTCCGTCTAGTTGGCTCTGACTCGGAGCAATCCCATGAAGACAGAGTGAAACGAGGCCCAGTCCTGCTCTCTCCTCCTGACAAGCACTCACTGCTGTCTCCCTGTGCTGCGTACTTCCCTGCCCTGAACTGGCCACTGGCGCCACGCCTCACTGCACTCGGGCCCACACACCCCACTGTTGAGCTGGATGGTGGCGCAGTCCTCCTGGATGAGGGCTCCAGCACTGTCTGTGGGGTCCATTAAGCCGCAGAGGTGGTTGTCCAGTGCCCAGTCACTGGCCCGCCGCTCGTGCTGGTACTGCAGGGCTGGGAGCTGGATGGCCTGGATGTCCATGCTAGTGTCCACCAGCTTGCCGACCCTGTGCCGAGACATGTGGATGCTGGTCAGAGGCAGCCTTGGGGGCAGGGTACAGCCACTGTTCACAGGGAGGGTGTGTGACAGCCGATGCTCTCTGCTGAGCCACTATTCATTCACTCTAATCCACGTACTCGCTCATTCACTTACTAGTACATCTACTTATTTACTCACTCATTCACTAACACAGCCACATTCATCCACTCGCTCATTCACTAATTAATCTATGCACTCACTCCTGCATTCATCCATCCAGTCAGTATAGGGCCAGCAGGGGCAGAGGTGGGGTCCCACATGACCATGGAGGGAGGTGGGTGCACAGGCTCCCCATTTGGGGAGACAGAAAGGGGAATGTTTGTGGCACCACCCAGCTCTTTCATCTGTGGGACTCACCCCGGACAATAAGCACTTGTGTCAATGCAGGGCGTGTCCACCAAGGTCCCAGAGGGCATTTGTCACCATTATCAACCTACCTCTAGTCAGTCCACTGAGCTGTCATTTGTCTGTCTCTCATCAGTCTGTCTATCCGTCACAGATCTCCTTATTCCCCCCAAATACTTGTGTTTGGGAGGGCGTAAAGTGGAAGTCATGCAATGAACTGTTATGATCATTAGATCAACGGTTATGAGAGGATTAAAAGGAGGGTACACCCTAATCCCACCACACTCCTCATGCCCCTTAGCGGACTCGCCCTCCGGGGTGGCCGGCAACAGCTTTCATCTCAGGAGATAAACAGGGAGAAAAGTGAGCAGAGGGGGAATCTCCATCCCCCACCAAGAAAGGGGACCTGGGTCTTGTGGACGCAGCTCTCTGAACGAGAAGCTCAGCACAAGGAAAGGCAAGACACACAGATACTCCAGGACTGCTAAACGACAAGGACCTTCCTCCAGAACCGACAGTGCCTTCAGCCACCCTGAACGTGCATGTCTATCCTTCTGAACAGAAGCGGCCCAGTCATAAGGAGCTGTGCTGTCAACCTCAAGGCACATGGTTTGAATCCACCAGGAGATCCACAGGAGAAAGATGGGCAATCTCTTTCTATGTGATTTACAGCCTCTGAAAACCCACTGAGAATCAGCTATGAGTTGGTTCCAGCACATAACATAACATAACATAACATAACATAACATAACATAACATAACATCACATCACATCACATCACATCACATCACATCACATCACATCACATAACACAACAACAAACATAACACAACATAACAATCATAACATAACATACACAACACATAATAACATAATTAACATTATACAACATAACAAAATGTACATCTCATCACATCCTCCTGCTTCACCCTCTTGTGGAATCTGTTAGGCAGCACAGGGGAGCTAACACTAGCTATCAACCTGCCAGTCAGTGGTCTCTACCTGTCACCTGTCTGTGGGTGTCTGAGCTCCTGATCTTGGGGGCGGCTTTATCCACCACCATTAGAGAGACCACCATGCCACCTGGCCCGACACTGACCGCAGGAAGACCTCTTCCATGGTGGTGACAGATGCCCCAAAGCTCGCAATGCCCAGCTCCTTTTGTTTCTTCTCCAGCTTGGTGAAGAGAGCTTCAAACCTGGGAAAAGCACATGGTGAGCAATTCATCTCATTCCTAGAGCACCTCCTACCGGACGGAGAGAGCCAGTAACCAGCTGTGACTGGACAGGCCGGTGGTCTTCACTCTCTAGCGCGGTGGCTGTCTAGACTATAGTTCAGAAGCCACGCGGCAGGTTCACTGCCCTCCAGGGTTGCTGTGAGCTGAAGCCAATGTGAGAGCAGCATGTTTGGGTTTTGGTACAATGGGGAGCAGAAAAGAAAGGTTAGCCTATTGAAATGCCATTTATGGGGGGTGGGTGGGGGAGAGGTGGTGGAAAAAAGAATGAAGATTAAAAAAGGGAGGAAACAGTCCAAAGGACTATGAATTGCAGGGACCTGAGCCTCTACCCATCAGAGAAGAACTAGATGGTGCCTGGCTCGGGCTGCTGAGCAAGCTACACGGGATCACCGTGGCAGGTCCTGGGTAGAGTGACAGAAAATGTGGAACAAAACTCAGAGTCATAAAAATGATCAGGCTGAAGGGTCTGACAGAGCCTGACGGAGCCCTTGAGACCATAATCTATAGCTATTCTTTAAGCCTGGAACAAAACTCAAGGTTACATTTGCGCATCCCCTTAGGCCCGTCCCTGCACCGCCCTGTCCGGAGCGCTCTGAGTCCTTACCTAGGTGTGCTCTCTTTGGGCAGGATGAAGGACAGCTCTGCCCCAGCGCTGCTCTCCAGGGTGGCGTTGGGAACATGGTGGTGCACCAGGCGGCAGACAGCCTCAGGGTGGCAGTGTGGCTCCTTCACCAGGGTCATGTGGTATCCTGCACCTGGAACACAGGACAACACGTGTGAGCTGCTCGGTAACGGCTTCTCACACCTCCCCCTGGGCCACGCTAGGCTGTGGGGCTCACACTGGGCTAAGCCCCAAAGGGTCTCCAAAGCCATAAGCCTTTAAAAAAGCAGCCTGCCATATCTTTCTCCACAGAGCTGATGTTGGGGTTGAACCACTGATCTTTTGGTTATGAGCCCAGTGCTTTAACCACTGCACTATCAGTGGACTTTCCAAATGTGTGTTTTTGTTATTGTGTACTGTCAAGTAGAAACCAACTTATCCCTGACCCTCCAGCAGGTTTTCAGAGGCAGTACATTGCGTCAGAGGAGACTGCCTATCTTTGTGCAAGGGAGCAGCTGGTGGATTCCAACCACGTGTTCTGGGTTTGCTAACACAGTTGCTTACCACCAGGCCACCGAGCTCCCTTTTTCAAGTTGTCTTGTTAACTCAGCTTCCATATAGTACTACAAAATTAAACCCATTACTCTCGGGTCTACTAACTCACAGTGACCATACAGGTCAGAGACGCCCATGAGGTTTTCCTGGCTGTATATCTTTATGAAAATTGACAGCCGCTTCTTTCTCTCATGGGGAGGCCGGTGGCTGAGTCCCAGTGAAGCCATAGCTCTGCTCTATTATTCCCTCTCTGCCCTCATAAAGCCCTCACAACCTGGGGCCGTAAGTCCACACCCAGCAGGGACAGATAGGAAGGCCTGCGGGCACCTTGAGCCTCCCTGTGATGGGAATGGAGGCAGCTCGAGGGACACTGGCCGGATGGTGCCCAGGTGCTCACCGTATTTCTGCTTGAGGAACAGAGAGGACCCACAGCACTGCAGCTCCCCCTGGGCCATGATGGCGATGCGGTCCCCCAGCAGGTCTGCCTCGTCCATGAAGTGGGTGGTCAGCAAGATGGTGCGATCACTCTTCTGCTGCTGGAGCAGGTCCCAGATGGCCCTCCGGGCGATGGTGTCCATGCCTGAGGTGGGCTCGTCCAGCATCAGCACCTGGGGGCATGGTGTGGCCCAGCTCTAGGAGGAGGAGACCAGACTGCCCCACTCCGAGCTTCCCGAGGGCCTGTGGCTCTGTCTGAGCATGGGGCCCTGTACCTTGGAGCCTGCGATGAGGGCAATGCCGATGGACAGCTTGCGTCTCATGCCACCGCTCAGGAACCTGCTTCGAGAGTCCCGCTTGTCCTCCAGGTTCAGGATGTGCAGCATCTGCCTCACCTCCTCTCGGCTCTTCTGCAGTGACAGGCCTTTCAGCTGGAACAGGGACCACCGGGAGGTCAGGGGTTATGGGGGGGGTCACCCCTCCAACGAGCATTTTGCTCATATTTCCATAAAACACGCATGCAGGGAAACCGGCCTTCTCGAGACCAAATGGCTACACTCTTGCTTGCAGTTAGCTCCCTTCTGCTCGCTCGTCACTCTGATGTAACACTGCTGCTGGGGTGGCCATGGAGGCCTTTGCACAGGGACACGTTTGGTCACCAGAGCCATCAAAGTCCCTGTCTCCCTCTGAGGTGGGGCAGCTTTTGGAAAAGGACACCGTGTTCGCTCAGTGAAGCAGAGAATCGGTGAAAGAGGAAGAAGCCTCTCAGTGAGAGGGATCGACATGGAGGCTGCAACAATGGCTGTGTGCGCCTAGAAGCTGTGAAGGTGGTATGGGATTGTGCAGGGCTTCATTCTTTCATACAGCTTTCTTCCATGAGCAACTGGTGGTTTTGAATCACTGGTTTATTAGTGAGCAGCCCACATACTACACGCGATGCCACCAGTTGTTGTTGCTATGTGCCGTTGAGTCGCTTACGACTCATAGAGACCCTATGTACAACAGCCCTAAACCCTGCTCTAACCTGTGCCAATCTCACTGCCTCTGACACTCCCATCCCGATTACCCCAGTCACTGAATCCATCCATCTCATAGAGGGTCTTCCCCTTCTGCGCTGTCCCTCAACCCTCCCAAGCATGATATCCCTCTCCAATGACCTGTTCCTCCTTACAACATGTCCAAAGTATGTCAGACAAAGCCTCAGAATCCTTGCCTCCAAGGAGCAGCCTGGTTTAACCCTCTCAAGGATGAATCGGTTTGTTTTCTTGGCAGTCCATGGTATTCTCAATATTCTTCTCCAGCACCACAGCTCAAAGGCATCAATTCACCTTCTATCCTCCTTAGTCATTATCCAACTCTCTGATAAATAACAAGTGATTGCAAAGACCATAGCCTGTATCAGATGCACCTTAGTCTCCAGAGTGATACCATTGCTCTTCAGTACCCTGGAGAGATCCCTAACAGGAGACTTTCCCATCGCAATAAGTTTTTTTTTGAATGACAAATAATTCCTTTTTTAAAAAAATAATTTTAATGAGCATTTACAGAGATTTTGGATTTCCATTCATTCATTGCTGCACTTCTCTCCCCGCCCATCCTTCCCACCCCCCGAAATACGTTTTTTGATTTCCTGGCTACTGGTGCCAAGAGTTTTGACCATGGAGCCAAGCAGACTAAAGTTGTTAACAATCTCAATCTCTTCACCA